TACCTAACCTAACCTAACCTAACTTTTTCGGCTACCTAACCTAACCTAACCTATAAAGATAGGTTAGGTTAGGTTAGGTAGGGTTGGTTAGGTTTGGTCATATATCTACTTAAATTTAAACTCCAATAAAAATTAATTGACAACATACATAATGAAATGGGTAGATTTATCATTTCATAAGAAAAAAATTAGAAAAAATAACTTAATTCGGGAAAACTTGGCTTATTAGGCAAATCGGGCCTTGCATAGTAGGCCGATAATTGCGTTCTGGCTACTAGGTACGACATATATATATATATATATATATATATATATATATGTTGCACAACCAGGTGGCGCTGCCACCCACAGGGAAGCAGCCAAATCCCGTAAGTATAGAGAACTGGATCACCACTACAATTTTGTCCCCATTGCTTCTGAGACGCTCGGCGCCTGGGGTAAAAGTGCTACCAGTTTTTTGAAGGAACTGGGTTCTAGGCTCATTGAAACAACAAGGGACCCGAGAGCTGCAAGCTTTCTTTTCCAGCGCCTCAGTGTGGCGATACAGAGGGGAAATGCGCACTGCATCCAGGGTTCCTGCCCGCCATCTGAGGAGCTGGAGGAACTCGACAACGTATGACAACCATCTTTGTAACCCATATGTAACTCCTTTTTTGTAACAAAGTTCAAATAAAGTAAATATATATGTGTACATACAAAAGAATGGGGGTGGTAGGAGAAGATAATATTAGTGTTCAGTGAGAAACCACAAGGTCTCCTCTGAATACTTTTTATTTTCTTCTCCGAGGCTATGGGTCCCCACATTGGCACCAGAGGTGGTACCCTCACAAACTTTTTATATATATATATATATAATATTGTTAAGTATGAACGAAAAGGTAAGATTAATAATTATAACACAAATTTTCTCAATATTTCTTATGTTTCTTTTCACTGTCGTTGGTAATTGAAAAACGAATTCTCCAAAATTCATTTTTATTTCTAGTCTGACGCGACCCTTCAACGCGTTTCGTAAAAACTTATTACATTTTCAAAGACTTTAGTTTACACACAGTTAGTTTAGTTCATTTATTATGCACCCCATACCCATTTTGAGGGCGGTAGTGGAAAGGGTTACAGAGGCACATAATGGGCTCAGGGACTGAACCCCACAATTCATTTAGCTAAGCAAGTTACAATCTTGATGAGCTAGTTACAAAATTCAATATAAGTCGTCACATTAACAATGGGTTCGAGATCGACCTCAAGTACAAGTTCTAAATTAAGCAACTGACATATGTGGAGAGCTAGTGTCACAATTTATATGTTTGTCCTGCACACCGCCCCCCATCCAGTGGGCAGTGGTGGATAGGTTACAATCACTCAGTTACTACCTTCAGTTAGCAAACTGGGGATATTTGGCTAAAATTTCTGGTAGCAGATCATTTTGAATGAAATATTTACACATTGCTGGAACATTGGTTATAGAATTGTCTCTAAATTCACGTATCTTTTCGCACTCCATCACATAGTGATGGAGGGTGTGCGAATAATTTTGTTGACACAGTTTACATTTGGTCAGGTCTACATCAGCAGATAATGAGAATTCCCAGAGATACTTGTAACCGAGTCTAAGCCGAGCAGTAGTAACATCTAGAAGTCTGCTGATTTTATTGGATGATCCATAGATGTGTGGCTCCTCTTGCATGATAGATGGAATTACTGGTGTCAATTTCACTTTGCCTCAGATCTACAAGATCTTGTTGAAGTTCTCGGTGTACTGCTGCTCTCAGATTGCTCATTGACAATCCAAGGTTACACTCAACGGCTCCTTTAAAGGCAGATTCTTTGGCTTACTGATCAGCTCTATCATGCATTCGGAGGCCAACATGAGATGGAGACCACATGAAATGGACTCTGTTACCATCCTTAATAATTTTGTTGTATTTGTGTCTAGCTTCGGACACGAGCATGTTACAGTTATGTCTTAAAGAGTTGAGAGCGTTTACACACACAACTGTAACCTGTAAACATGCAAAATACGTCCATATTTATCCTCACATTTGGGTGAGGTGATATGGTACAACAGTTTTTGGTGAGGTGAACAAATTTGTGACAAACACAAGACAAATCATGAAACAATGGGTATAAATTGGATATGAGAACATAAGAATGGAAGTAACTGCAGAGGGCCTATTGGGCCATACTTCCTCTTGATGCTTCTATGTTGGTTCGGAGTCTTGAAGTGGGTAGAATATAGTTGTGCATTAATTGGCTGTTGATTGCTGGTGTTGACTTTTTGATGTGTAGTGCCCTCGCAGATGTCAAGCCTCCTGCTATTGCTGTATCTATCGATGATATCTGTGTTGCTTGTTTAGATTTCTCTGGTGATGGTCTGGTTGTGAGAAGAGAACCATCAGCAGAGAAATCTTAACAAACTTAACAAATCTTAACTTAGCACCTAAATTATTGGAATTGTCTCAAAGCTCTCCAAATATACTCACTAGAAAGGAGACGAGAGAGATAACAAATAATATACACATGGAAAATACTGGAGGGCCAGGTCCCTAATCTACACAGTAAAATAACAATGTACTGGAGTGAATGATATGGAAGAAAATGCAGGATAGAACCAGTGAAGAGCAGAGGTGCCATGGGCACAATCAGAGAACACTGTATGAACATCAGAGGTCCACGGTTGTTCAATGTCCTACCAGCGAGCATCAGAAATATTACAGGAACAACCGTGGACATTTTCAAAAGAAAACTAGACTGTTTTCTAAAAGAAGTTCCAGACCAACCGGGCTGTGGTGGGTATGTGGGTCTGCAGGCCGCTCCAAGCAACAGCCTGGTGGACCAAACTCTCACAAATCAAGCTTGGCCTCGGGCCGGGCTTGGGGAGTAGAACTCCCAGAACCCCATCAAGCAGGTATCAAGCAGATAAGCTCCAGGGAACCGTAAGGGCTCCCCACAGAAAAGAGGATTGTCAGCCAGCCAAGATGAGTCCAGAACCTCGTAATGTAGCCAAAAAGGGCAACACCTCTCCGAACACAAAGGAAGCAGGGGTCTATCATTGAAGCAAGTCCCAAATCCTGCAGGAGGTACAGCAACTGGTTCTCACACGCCTCCAACGGGAGACTCGGGAAGAAGGAAACCTCTGGAAAGATGAAACTGCAAAAACTGAACAACATGCAGAAATGAACCCTGGAAAGGATGCTGCAGCTTAATCAAACTCATTCCGATCAAGAGGAAAAGAGAATCCCTACCTTTTGAGCAAATAATTCTTCACAGAAGTAACAAAATACTAAGAAAAATTCATAGGCATCCAGTTCAGGCTCTTTACCAGCCCCAGGAGCCTGCCATAACGGCTCCAGGGCAGAACCAATGTTGTTGTCCAACACCTAGGAAAGAAAGGCATCCTCCCAAGAAGGTACAGAGGAAGCATAAGGATGTGAAGAAGAAAATTATGTAACCTTGGCAGGTCTAGAAGGATCAACTACCTCCATGCTTAAGAATGAAGGGGTAACCTCCAGACCTTTGTAAGCTACACCCTGAACTAAATCCTGCCCCGACTCAGAAATCCTCAAACATTTTGAAGCCAGAAGCAGGGGTCGGGGGAAGAACTGAAGTAGGGCGAATGACACTTGCTGGGAACAGAAGAGGAGGCATAGCTAGAACCAAGTTGGAGATCACCTACACTTCCGATTCCAAGTCACTAAACACTATACGGGGCAATTCCAGGGCATCCGTATGAGCACAAAGCCATGCCATGAATGTTGAGTTTTGGGCAAACCAAATCCGTAAGGTGGCAGCTGCATGAAATTCCTCCACTTCAGAAGCAGGATTAGAGAGGATCAGAACTCTTGGGGAACAAACTCAACAGGATTCAGGGCTGTAATTATCATTGACCCAACAGGCACATGGTGGAGGCAGAAGGAATTGTCATCTCCATGTAGCAAAGGCAACAAACACCCTTCAAACTCTTGATGGGTGAGAGTGAGCTTGGTGGGCTAACCTTTATGCATAATTGACCTCACCACAGTTCCCTGGGAAAATACCAGGTCCTGTTGGTAATAAACCAGACAGTTATTTCCAGGTATTGAGGACTCTTGCCGAAAGAATGGAAACCATAAGCAGCCCTAGTATCTTTGCTGCAAATGGTTTTTGCGGAGTGCCCTATAAACCAGGTGTGCTAGGCCCATGTACACCCCACACACCCAACTGAATACCCCCCAACCACAGGCTTAAACAGAGGAATCAACATACCCTTAAATACCCAAGGTAAGGTAATCTGCCCTATGACCTGGTCTCAAAAACTCAAAAGGGTAAACCCCCAAACATACCAGAGAAGTAACTCTGTCAATGCAAGGGAAGTGCTAAACGAACACCCAGGGAAGTAATCAGTGAACGCATGTAGATCAGCATACAAAACATCCAAGTCCACACAACAAAACTGGACCAACAAAACACGATTATGAAGTAAATACAATATAATGGAAAAATATAGTAATAAAAAAGTTCTTACAGAATGGCCCAGCACTTAGCTTGGAAACACTGAGATCTCCCAAGAGAAATGGTGACAAAGAAGCACTACTGCATTGATCAAGATAACTCATCAGTGACAGAACTGAGATGCGAGCTGATGGTGCTCCGAGCGCCAGGCCACCTGGTGGCGGCATTCAGTACTTACGGGTTCTACCTAGTTTCAAGGGAATTATTTTGTTGAGGTTGATTGGGGAGATGTTTGGCAGTTTTGAGGCTTTGAGTCTTGTTAACACAGCAGTTGTCTGTGGTGCTTTGCTGACTTTCTGGATGCTTATCTGGTGAAATGGTGGAATGTACTTGCTCTCTGTGCCTCACTTGAAGGGGCCAGGTTCTGATTCTAATCTCCAGTAGGTCAAACAGAACTCCCATGACTGATATGACTTGTAGCATGTAGCAATCTCAGTGAGATAGTGACACAGAGCCATTGGGGCTCCCGCAGAAAATCTAGATATTTATCTATATTTTGTTTTCCTCAGGCACATAGAAAAACACACCTAGAAACAGTTCAGCACCTTCAAGTCAATAGACCTGACGATAACATACTTATTGTCTCAGCTGAAGGGGACGATCGAAGAAAGCTACCGACTGTTCATAATGTTCTACTTCCCAAGGATAATGTGGACATCAGCAAATCTGATATAAATGTTCAGAAAAAACTTTTAAGAATAAATGACACAACTCTGCCACTTGAACTTATCCTGAAGTCTGTAGGAAGAGGCAGTGCTATTAAAATAAAAATTATTGATAAACCTGCACATCCCAGAGCAGAAATATTGTCTCCAGGTAAAAATATTGTTGAATTAGTTGATGATGGCTCGTCTAAACAAGAATTACAGTTACCAAAATGCAGCAGTAATGACGTGGACAGCCTGATACCAAGATCTGTTGAAGGTAAGATTTGTTTTTTTTATGTATTTTTTCAAAGGGGAAGCACTGTCGGCTCCCCCGGAGCTATCCAGGCTGAATGAATATGTATAACTTTCTGGCATCAGTCAGTGTGTACGGAGTTCTTCCCTACCAGGGACCACAAGCCGGAACCTGGCTCCCTCAAGAGAGGCACGAGGAGCAATGGCCTATAAAAACCCCCGTGTGGTTGGGAGCATTCTATGTCTGCCATCGACTTGATCTGGCACCCAGAAACGTAGGCACCCCAAAACAAACCCCTATTCTGGTGAAACTATTGCTACCGAAAGCCGAACAAGTGGACAGAACTCCCCAGACGAAAATTAGCAAACGATCATAACATCATCATGTCACCGCACTGCTGTCTGCGCATCCCCCCCCCCCTCCCTGGGAGGGGGAAGGGGGAGCCCCAGACCCCCACACTGGCAATCCACCCTTCAGTTCTCAGCCAGATGTGCTACTGGCATAGTCTTGTGCCTCTGGGTCCTGCAATCTGTCTCAGATTCTGTGCCTTGTGTTGTGGACTGTCTTTACTGGTGGTGTGCGAGCCAGGAGAAATATTACTCGGTACTCGGGCTACATGCGCCTAGGGGCCACCTTCCCTAGGTGCCCTGTAAGTACTACCCTTGGGGGCTTGGGGGCCACCTTCCCTAGGAGCCCTGTAGGTACTACCCTTGGGGGCTTTGGAGGCCACCTTTCCTAGGAGCCCTGTAGGTACTACCCTTGGGGGCTTTGGAGGCCACCTTCCCTAGGTGCCCTGTAAGTACTACCCTTGGGGGCTTGGGGGGCCACCTTCCCTAGGTGCCCTGTAAGTACTACCCTTGGGGGCTTGGGGGCCACCTTCCCTAGGTGCCCTGTAAGTACTACCCTTGGGGGCTTGGGGGCCACCTTCCCTAGGTGCCCTGTAAGTACTACCCTTCGGGGCTTGGGGGCCACCTTCCACAAGTCACCTCGGGATCTACCCCCACTATGTCTTTTACTGCCTGGTACTTTGCTGCCCTTGGAGTCAACTAGGATCTTTGTTGCCCGTGTTTGCCTCTGGGTAGGGGGTAGTTTTCATCACTGGTAGGGGCATGGGTTACTGCACAGTTAGTTTTCACCTCTTACAGCGGCCAGCTCTGTTCCACCTGGGTACGTTGTACTCTTGCAGGGTTTTGCTTTTGTTTTTGCTTTTCTGCCTGGTGAGGAAGTCTGCCTTGGTGGTTGCCCCTTCTGTGTTCGGGTGTATATATATAATTATAATTATATTTATTCTCAGTTTTGTGTGGTTGGTGGTACCCCTGGTATCCCTAGACCACTATGAGTGGACACGTTCCAGGAGTTCAGCTATTAGCAGATTGTTTGGTTGTTTTGGGCGGCGGTTCGCAATACCCTACCTGGGCTTCCCTTAGTGTGTTCATAAGGCTATGGGCCCCTGGGAAACCCCACGGGGGCTCCGTGGTCCGATGGATGTGACCCTTGAGTCCCTTCTCGCTTCGTACAAGTCAGAAGGTTGCTCTGCCCCCTTGTCTCTGAGGGACAATCACCGGCTGTGCCTCCACCATGCTGCCTGTTGGATCGGTGATTCTTTTGACCCGGAGTCATGCGATGTTTGTTGCCTGTATGTGCTCCAGTTCACACAAGCTACTGATCATGATATGAGGGTGCAGGCAGCAGCTGCATTGCATGCTAGGTTTAGGTTGCTGCAACGATCTTGGTTAGTTGCTTCCCCAGATGCCCCGAGACTGCTCCATTTTGGTTTTAGGGACCTGGACTTAGGGGTGGGAGTCCCTTCGGCTCTGGTTCCATCCTCTCCCTTGTTCTTCCCCTTCTGTTGTCCATTCGGTTCCTTCCCCCTTGTTTCCGGCTCCGAAGTATCTTAGGGTTTCGGAGTCAGGGCAGGGTTTAGTTGGTGTTGAGACTTGGGCAGTCTCGAGGGAGACCCCTTCCGGGGTGGCAGCATAGGCATTCAAGCCTGGTCCTCCTATCTGAGCTTCTGGGTCTGACAAGTAGACCCTCTTTGTCCCTGCTTTTTCGGCTGCTCCTGCCTTTTCTTTAGAGGCGGAGGTGTGGAGGACGTCTCGGGCCCCGGATCCTCGGGGTGAGGTTCCTGAGGCAGGGGAAAGGTTGACTTGGGGGCCTTGGGGCCCCATTGGACCGCGCCTGGGTTTTTGTACCCTCAGAGTGGGGCTTGGTGTTACAGGGTGTGGGGTTCTCTTTTGCTCCCCGCCTTGTTTTCCTGGGGGGCGCATTTGAGCTTCTCAATGAGTGCTTATTAGCCCCCTGCCCTTCTGCAGGATATTGGTGCAATGCAGCTTCATGTGCAGGCTCCTTCCCTTTTGGCTGCATTGGTCGCGGAGGACTTATGTACGCAGGGCCTGCTGGCTTCGGCCCTGCGGTTCTTCTCCCTTTTTGAGCTGTCTTCGGACTGGCTTACGGTGGATGTGGAGGAGCTTGGGGCTGCCTCTGGGTCTGGTGCGTTGCCTTTGGCAGTGCATGCAGTGCATGCATAGTCTGCGCTGTTGAAGCTGTTCACGCCGCTCCTGCGGGATGTGGTTTCCCTGTTTTTTGCTTCTTGGCTCGCGTGTCGGCAGGTGGTGCTTGCTTCTTCCTTGGAATCCGCTTGGGGCCTGGCTCTTAGATTGTCTTCGCCCTTTCGTCCTTTGCTGTTTGCAGAGTCTCCGGTGATGCAGTATCTGCAGGTGGCTTTGGCTATTTGCTGTCCTATTTTGGAATTGTTAGTTCTCCAGGGGGCTCATGGGGGCCATCAAGGCAGGGTCATTCCAGGGCTTGGGGTTCTTTCTCTCGTGGTAGGCCAGTGGTGTCAAGTTCAGCGCCGTCTGTTTCTGTTCGGTGCGGGGATCACACTTTGCGCCGTTTGGGTGCTCGTAAGGTGCGTCGGCCCTTTCGTAGTTTGTACTATTGACGGGGCGGTGGGGGGGAGACTCGCTCTGTTTCCTCACTCTTAGTCCCACGATTCGTGAGTCTTTTGTGTGGTTTCGTGCAGCCTGTGGTGGCATTGGTTGGCTCCTCCTCCTGTTTGGGGGGTTCGGGACTGGCAGGGCAGGCCTCTACTCCTGCGCTTTGTCAAGTCATCTCGGAGTGGATTCACTTGAGTGTAGTTGAAACATCCTCGTCCCTCAAGTGGATCTCCCGCCTGTTTCCGGTCCCAAAATGGGACTGCGCAGACCGGTTCATTCTGGACTTGTCTCGTCTGAACCCGTGGGTTTATTGCCCCTCCTTTCGGATAACTACTCTGTCCCAGGTCCGTCTTCTGTTGGAGTCGGGCGCTTTAACCCTTAAACTGTGCATGGCGTATATATACGCCCTGAGTAACATGTCCCATAGTGCGCATGGCGTATATATACGCCATAGGGTGCCAGGCCTGATTCAAATGGCCCGCGGCTACACGGGGTTCACAGTAGCTTCCTCAGGGCTCTTGTAAACAGATGCAATTTAAAAAAAAAATCGTGGGCAATATTCTCAGGTGTGAGAGGCACAGTACTGTTGGAGCAACCAAGGCCGGCGCACGCAGCATGAGCGAACAGCATTGATGTTCAGCTTGTGACCACAGCATCGCCGAAAAATGTCAAAATAAATATATAATTGTTATTATTTAGCGATGACAATATTACAGATGACCAATGACAGTGATATAAATAACCAGGGTTGTGATAATAGCAGGATTGTTGTAATAATTAGCGCTGTGGGAGGAGTGATGCTGAGAGACGGAGGGAGACAGCATCGTTTACTGACTGTGTGGCCACCTGTTATTGTTTGCATTCACCATACCAGGTCAGTGGTTCTCTATGGTGAACACAAATGTAGATACTTATATATAATGTGTGTATTAGTGTATTAACAGCAAAAGGATTATGCTGGGAGGAGCCATATGGGTGACGGAGGTGACGTCGTCTGCACGATTTGTCTAGCTGTTTAGAGGGTGGCTACTATGCTCTTTGGGCGCACTACAAGCTTAGGTGTACAGTTACGGTGCATAAAACATGTAGATATTTATATATAATATGTGTATATAGGGTAATAACACTGCAAAAGGTATTGTTGGGGGAGAAAGTTTAGTGCGTGTGACCTTGAAAGAGTGAGGGAGCCGCCAGCCGCCATCTGTGTATAGCGACGACTCTTAGTGCCTGAACTAACTATATCAGCTTAGCTGTACAGTTGTGGTGAATAAAATATACACATACTTATATGTAATGTCTGTATATAGTGTAATAACACCACAACTGGTATTGTTGGGGGAGAAAGTTTAGTGCGTGTGTTGAGGGAGTGGCAGCGAATGGCTGGCTGGTGTGTGGCGGTAACTCCTCGTTGCTTTTCGACTCTCAATACCAACTTAGTGGTTCGTTATGGTGACCAAAACATGCCAATACTTATATATAACCTGTGTATAGAGTGTAATAGCAGCAAAACTATTTGTTTATTGTTTTATGAACATAATAATTGAATCACTAATATGCACACCATACTTTTGAGTATAGCGATCATTCACCACTTTTATTATATAAATATATTACAATACACACTATTGAATAATATTACTGCAAAAAACTAAGAAAAAATCAATCGGAGACATTGAAACAATTAGGTAATAATATCTTTGTGGCAACTCCCATCTGTCAACGCGGGTGACGCTGACCGGGTCTGACGACCGCTCTGTCAACGCCCACTTTTTGCCAGACTTCCTCTGTCAATTGCGCCCAAAATATGTCACCTACGATTTTTTTTTTTCCGTGCTCAGGGGACACAAATTAACATGTTTAGAAGACGAAAAAAAAATTTTGAATTTTTTTTTTTCTTGCGCACAGAGGTGTAAATGTCCCAAGGACCCCTGAGCAGTGTAAGGGTTAATGGTGTCCCTATACCTCCAGGACGTATATTGGCACATCCCGATTCATAAGCAATTCAGGGACTGGCTTGGTTTTGTGGTGGGACGTCAAGGTTACCGCTTTCGTTGCCTTCCATTCGGCTTGAATGTGGTGCCTCGCAGTTTCACTCACCTTTCTCGGGTCGTGGTGACCCGTCTGCGTCTGTTGAGTATTCGGATTCTGGCCTACCTCGACGACTGGATGGTTTGGGCTCCCAGCCTGTCCACGTGTCTGCTCGCCAGGGGTTTAGTTATTCCCAGCTCGCCGGGTTCAGGTTCTTGGTGAACTGGCGGAAGTCCCATCTGGTTCCGTCTCAAGTTTGGTCTTGGCTGGGTCTTGTGTGGGACGCTTGGACCGTTTCTGAGGGGCTAACGGATAATGCAGCAGTTGCTCAAGGGTTTGTGCGGGAGCCTGAACTTTGTCATGATGGTCTACCCACCGGGTCGGGTGTTTCTTCGTCTGCTGTTCTGGTTCTTTCAGGGACGTCCCTTTCGCCTCCTTCGCGACCATTGGGTTCGGCCGCCGGGCACCTTGCGTCAGTTGCTGTGCCGCTGGCTTCCTCTTTGGGTTTTTTGGGGTTCAGTGCCTTCGCGCCTACCCGAGTCCTTGCTCGATGTGTTCACGGATGCGTCATCTCTTGGCTGGGGCTTTGTGACCAGTGCTCACTAGACCAGCCAGGGGCAGTAGGTTCTGTCCCTCCACCGAGCTCACAGCACAATGCCGAAGTTCGTGATTGTGTGGATGTCGTTCTGGAGGATTCGGGTCTTTTGCGAATCGACGGTCTGGCTCCATTCAGACTATTTCCCGGTGGTTCATTGCCTGAACCGCAGGGTTTCGATGTGGTCCTTGGCTCTATGGGGCTGGTCGCTTTGGGTGACTGCTGAGTTCTCGGGGTGTGGCTCTCCTGGCGGTTCACGTTCAGGGGGTTGTCCAGTGTCCTGGCGGACGGCCTGACCCGGTTCATTCCCCTTGTACACGAAATGGACAGTCAACGCTAACTCGGTTCCATTGGCTCTGCTGGATGTTCGGGCCTCTATAAGTGGATCTCGTTGCATCAGCATGGTCGAGGCGTCTCCAGGTATACATGGAGCTCTTCCCCGACTGTGAGGCCTTCGGGGTCCATGCCTTTAGACAGGACTGGACGAGGTGGGGTTACCTGTTCCTCTTGCCCCGGTTCAGCTGTTGCTCCAAGTCCTGGCTCGCTTGGAGACATACCAGGGGAGAGTAGTCCTCTTGGCTCCTTGGTGCCTAGCCCAGCTTTGGTTTCAGGCACTGCTTGCTCGGTGTCCGAACCCGAGTGTCTTCCCCCAGCTCCGCTTCTTTCAGATCAGTCCTGCCTGTTACGAGGCTGGTTAGCTCTTCTCCTCGAGACTTTGCGTCTGGTCTTTCTGACTCGAGTCTGTCACCATTTGTAGGAGGCTCAGGTGGCTTTGTTGTTGGTCTCCCACCTGCATGTCTCATCTTGGTGGCAGTATGAAGTTTCGTGGCGATCCTTCCAATTTTTCCTATCACTGCGTAGGTGTACTTCGGTCCCTGATAGAGTTGTTTTGTCCTTCCTGTCATTGTTGTTTCAGGACCGTCATCTTATGACGAATACTGTCGCCTCCTATCTTGTGACGCTGGTAGCCACTCCAGCTTGAGTTCGGTATTGATGTTACGTCTGCTCTGTTCTGCAAGTTCTCTCAGGTGTTTCACCTCCGGCCTGCTCATGCGTCGCCTGAGCCCTCTTGGTCCTTGGATCGGGTGCTCTCTTTCCTCTCTTTTCCTCAGTTTGTGGTGACCCCTTCAGTTCAGGATTGTTTTTCCAAGGCTCTTGTCCTGTTGGCATTGGTCTCTGGGGGTTGGGTCAGGAAGCTTCATGCTCTCCTCCGGCGTAAAGGGGTCTCTGCTCTTTTTGTCCTGGTGGTAGGTTTGTTCGGTTGAAGTCGTCTCCTTCTTTTCTGGCAAAGAATGAGACTGCTGCTTACTAGAGGTCCTTGGGTTGTCGTTGCTTGGTTGGTCAGCATAGGGGTGCATCATGTCTTGTGTCCGGTTGCAGCTCTCCACCATTATTTGCACGCCACAGCTTCGGTGGCCGGGAATGTGCTTTGGGTTCATCCAGTTTCCTTTGTTCCCTATTCCTGGGCTCGGGTCTCCCAGGTCGTCTGCAGGATTATTAAGGCTAGCTAGCCTGCTGTCTATCCTCGTGTCCACGAAGTGCATAAATTAGCTGCTTTGGCAACATGTCTTGGGTTGACATTTGGGCCCGGGGTTTTTGGAGGTCGAACAGGGTCCTGGCTGCTCTCTACCTTGTCAGTGTGCTTGGTCCTCGTACGGCATGTGTTGCATTGAATTGGCGATTGCAGTCAGTTGTCTCAGCTTTGCGTTGAGGAGTGAGGACTGACCGCTGTCTGGGTAAGTCCCTGTTTTTCCTTGTCTTTGGGTAGTTAGCTCTTGGGAGGTGACAGGGCTTCTCTCAGAAAACCAGCATTGAATGTAATGAAATGCCATTTTCAGGGTGAGTCCTGGAGGCTCTCCAGCATCCCTTCCTTGGTCGGTGGTGTTTTCGCTTATTTTGACATCCAGCCTAAGAATTGAAAGCTGGATTGCCAGCGTGGAGGTCTGGGGCTCCCCCTTCTCCCTCCCAGGAAGTGGGGGGATGCACAAACAGCAGCGCGGTGACATGATGACTTAATGCTCATTTGCTAATTTTCGTTTGGGGAGTTCTGTCCACTCGTTCGGCTTTCGGTCGCAATAATTTCACCAGTGTAGTGGTTTGTTTTGGGGAGCTTACCATTCTGGGTGCCTGACCTGATCGATGGCAGACATAGAATGCTTTCAACCACACAGGGGTTTCTACAGGCCATTGCTCCTCGTGCCTCTCTGAGGGGGGGCCAGGTTCTGGCTCGAACAACCGAATGATATTCTCACTGTACAATAATTAACTTGGATCATATGGATACTTCTAACACAAACACATACTGATGCCCGGACTCAACCGTGGCTTTGACAAACAATCCTCTCTTAATTTTTCATTTGTATGTTCCACTGAACAATTTGTACTGAACATAAATTGTTCAGGCCATTCAGGAATTTGTTAGTGAGGAACTATTGTATTCTAATGCTCCATTCATAAGTACTGTATTTCTTTCACACAGTTACACTTCTATTATATCTTTTGTCAAATGAATGTCGTTTGTAAACTTTCTTTTAAGGGGCTAGTTAAGTATAATGAATTGTTAAATATCATTATCCTTTGTAATCTCTTGTATGAACTGTTTATATTAACAAATTAATGTTTGCAATTTATATTTCAGGAAGTTGTATTGAGAGTGTGAATGAAGAAGCAGTGCAGGTGGCAAGTGTATTAAGTGTTCCGGCCAGTATTATAAGCCATTGCCTCTCCAAGCATTATGTCCGCATTAATCCGGCCTCCTTAGATTTTCAGTGCTGGCTTGCAACGTTAGCCTCGCTCTCTCATCAACTTGCTGCACCATTTGACCTGGAAGTATGTGGAATTTTGATATCCCTCATTTAAATTTATAAATCAAATTTATACATTATTATGTTCTTTATGATCTTGTGTTTTAGATACAACATAAACACATGCCCCCAAACATTGAGTTACTTTTCTGGGAGCACCTTCTCAGTATCTTCCCTAGCTACAGTACAGTAGTGGCCAAATTTTAGAGATCACACCATGTGTCGCTTACCCACTTGAGCCTACTGGGAGCCATGACCAGAATCTGGCTGTAAGCTTGGTACCTGGTTGATAACTGGTTGATGGGGTTCTGGGAGTTCTTCTACTCCCCAAGCCCAGCCCGAGGCCAGACTTGACTTGTGAGAGTTTGGTCCACCAGGCTGTTGCTTGGAGCGGCCCGCAGGCCCACATACCCACCACAACTCGGTTGGTCCGGCACTCCTTGAAGGAAACAATCTAGTTTCCTCTCGAAGATGCCCACGGTTGTTCCTGTAATATTTCTGATGCTCACTGGTAGGACGTTGAACAACCGTGGACCTCTGATGTTCATACAGTGTTCTCTGATTGTGCCCATGGCACCTCTGCTCTTCCCTTGAGGATCAGAAGTCACCCAAAAATCATCAAAAACCCCAAAGAAATTAATTAAATGTGCCCAAAACAGGCAGCTGCTTTTAGGCAACAAGAAACTCTTGAGGAAAAGTAGTAAACAATTGTCACTGCAGGAAAGCTCTCCCCCTGTTATGGTTGAGGCTGAAGAGAAACAATCTTCGTCCACATGGTTTTATTCTCAGCCAGTAACCACAACAAAAAAATTATCAGGTACATGAAATATTATTAACACTTTCGCTCACCCCGCGCGCCACCCCTCGACAGGGCGATATGGGCCCCAGCGTGTCACGGAAGCGCGCGTTAATTCCGGAAAGTGTATACTCTCTTCAACTTTGTCACCTCAATTCTCCTTCTATGAGATTAAATTTGGTATCATTGTGTTCGCAATAAAATTCTCTACAGCACTAAATGCATATAAACTCCAAAAGCCCGGCTAATTACCCGCAGCAAACAGAGAAAGTGCGAACGAGTTACCCGGGAGCGCGCAAACGGGATAAAATGTTTTCACTATTTTCACTCTGGTCACCTCAATTTTTGTCCCAGGTCTTTCATTTTGGTCTCAATGGGTTTGTAATAAAATTCTCTAGAGGAACATTAGCATATAAAAAAAAAAAACCTGGTCACGCTCCAACCGCAGACGAGTTGAAGACGGGCCACGCGTTAGCCGTGAGTGAGCGCTCAGAGGCCTTCCTGCTACACTCCCAATTCCCGCCCTTTTCAAGCCTTTCTTTCGCAATTTTCTCCCTGGAAGGGCCTTGTTCATGATTACTATCCATCGTGGAGTAAGCGTAGATAGTTTCTAAAGCCGCAGTAAGAAATATAGCCACGGAAAATAGCCGAAATGTTCACACGTTTGAGATGCGAGGGGAGGCGACATTGGTCACAACAGTGGAGCAAAGACAATGGGCCCACGGCGTGTGCCAAGCCGCTTGAGGGCCACGAGGCTCAACAAAGAAAATGGGAAGACATCGGCGCACATTTTAAAACCAGTCCCAAAAAAATCAGATAAAAACCTGATTTTTGGCGAATTTTTAAAGTGGATGACGCAATGCTGCGTCATCCCCGGCATTACCGCCAGTAAACGGATGACGCAATGCTGCGTCATCCCCGAGCGAAAGTGTTAATTAACAAGATCATAAACAAAGAGCATCTGCTCCAAACATGCTACCTCCAACATCTGTAGTACTCAATCCCAACATTTCTCCCCTTTTAAATAAACTCTATCCCTACAGGTTAAGTCTATCAGGCAGTCGTATGACTCTTCCTGATTTTCTCAACTGGGAGTCCTGACCTGTTACTTCTGGGAAACATTCTTCTGAATTACTCCTTGTAGAGTCCATAGGGTTAACTGTATCCCCATTACCCTCTACTGCCCCTTGCTCTGCCTCCCGGTCTCCTGCAGGTGCTGCTATCCCTTCATTATCAGGATGGATATCACTAGTTGCCCCACCCCCACCTGAAGGGTCTTCAAAATTCCCTGCGAACCTTGACATGAGCTGATCTTCATGCCTTTTCCAATTAATGTTCCCAAAACTCTGCACTTGCACAGTGAAATTCCTGCGGCCCAGGACTTCCCTAATTTTTCCTTCCACCCAGGGCTTTCCACTTCCAAAATTCCTTGCATATATTGCATCCCCCTCATTAAACAACAATTCCTCTCCCTGAGCCAACTGACTGGCCAAGCTAGTTACCGATTTCTCTTTATCGGGATCTGTCTTTACTGCTTCCATGTGCACTTTAAAGTGCCTATTAAACAGTAGTTCAGAAGGAGATTTACCAGTAATAGAATGAACAGTTTTCCTTTGGTTATATAAAAATCTACAAAGCCTTGTATTAATAGTACCTTCCGTAAACCGCTTTAACCCTTCTTTCAAGGATCTCACTGCTCTCTCTGCTAGACCATTTGAAGAAGGATTATACGGGGGCAGGTGTTACATGTTTAATACCACTTTCTGTGGGGAGCCCCTATGGCTCCCTGGAGCTTATCAGGCTAATGTATATTATATTAGACAGGGACATTAGCTAAGGAGTTCAGACCTACCAGGGAGCAGCGCCAGAACCTGGCCCCTTCAGAGACGTTTCAGGGAGCAATGGCACTGGAAAACCCTCTTGTGGTTGGGGTTTTCCTTATCTGCCATCGACCGGGGTCAGGCACCCAGAAAGGTAGGCATGACAAAACAAACCCCACATGGTAAAAAACTAAAACAAAAAACTGAACAGAGAGGTAGAAACTCCCTTCAATCCCAAGGAAACAAGTAAACATCACACTTTACTGTCGCGCCAATCGTCCCCGCAGCCCTCCCCGCCCCGAGAGGGGGAGGGGGGAGCCCCAGACCTACCGCGCCGGCTGCCAAGCTTCAGTTCGGAAGCTAATGTCAACCGGGATAGACGCTTCTCTGGCCTCAGTTTCCTTGGCGGTGTTTGCCTTGTGTGGCTTTCACTGCCGTGTGTTCGTGTGTTGTGTTGTGCGGTGGCCAGGAGTACCTCATCAGTATCAGGGCTGCATGCGCTTAGTGGCTGACTTCCCTAAGCGCCCTGTGAGTACTGCCCTTGCGTAACAGGCTTATCTTCCCTGGGGCGTTCGGGAACCGTTCCCGTAGAGGTTCTTGCTGCTCAGCATTTGCCTCGCCCTTGGGGCCAGCTGGGGCTTGGGGCCCTTGTTTGGCCCTTGGTAGGGATTGGTATTGTGCTGGTTAGGGTGTCAAGGTGTTGCACAGCCTACCACCTAAGCGGCGGTCGGTTCCTGTTGCCTCTGGAGACGGTGTACTTTTGCGGGGTTTTTCTTTTGTTTTTATTTTTATTTGCCTGGTGGGGGTCTGCCTAGTGTGGCTATAGTTCCACTGGTAGTGTTTGGCGGCCCTCTGCTAGGCCCCCGTGATTGTACACGTCACAGGGGTTTTCAGTGCTATCCACTACCCTCTTGTTATGTTTGGGTTTCTTAACCGGTTTGCAACACCTTGCCCGGGCTTCCCGTAGTTGTTACCCTACGGGCCCTGGAAACCCCTGTCTGGGCTTGGGGGACCATTGAATGTGTCTTCCGGGTTCCAACCTGTCTTGTACGGGATCGTTGGTTGCTGTTCCCTTGTCTCCAGGTGACAGTCGCCATTTTTACCTCCGTCATGCTGCCTGTTGGGTCACTGACACCTGGACCCGGAGTCTTGCGAGAGAGATTCTCTGCTTGTTGTCCAGTACTCTCCTGATGTTATTACTGTTTAGAGTACAGGCAGCATCCATGTTGCAAGCTAGGTTAGGTTGCTGCAACACGCTAGGTTGGTTTCCCACTCGGATGCCCCGAGGCCGCCCCGTTTTGGTTAGGTGCTGTTTGCCCCTTTCCCTCCCTGTTCCCGGCTCCGGACCGTCTGCGGGTTTCGGGGTTGGGGCGGGGTTTAATTGGGGCCGAGACTCGGGCGGTTTTCGGGGGCTGCCCCGTTCAGGTTGGGGACGGAGGTTTTCGAGCCTGTTCCTCCTGTCAAGGCTTCTGAGTCTTACCAGCGGCCCTTTCTTGCTGCCTTTCCCATGGACTCTTCCTTTTCTTTAAGGGCGGAGGGCTTGGAGGCCAGCTCTGCCCCGGGGCCTCTGTTGCAGGTTCCCGGGGCAGTAGGGGATGCCTGCTAGCAGTTCTGGGGCGGTTTGCCCCTGCCTGGGTTTTCTGCTCCCGGGCGGAGTTTTTCGCCCATCCAGTCTGCTTGCTTCTCACTTTTGCTGGCGTGTTTTCATATCTTTTGCATCAATCACAGCCCTCTGTTCTGGTGGCCATTTTCTTCTGCCGGTTTCCCGGCGTGGCCACTAGGGTGGCGTTGCGGTTTGTTTACATGCGCCTGGGTGTGCGAGCGAGCGTCTTGGGTGAATTTTTCAACTTTTTCAGGGGTTTTCTTCTCCTGTTGTCGTTTCTTTGCTTTTCTGGTGTTTTCTGCCCGTTTCCTGTTCCTCTGGGAACGTTTGAATGTTGATTTTCCATTGGGTTTTCCATTTTGTCTGTTTTGGGTCTGGGCCAAAACTCAGTTTGGTTCAGTGTTCCTGGCTGTTATGCTTGCTTCCACACCTTGTCCCTTGGATATCGGTCTGTTTTTACCGTTTCCCTGGGGTTCTGTCTGGGGGCTGTGCTTTGCCTTCTGTGGTGTGTCTCCGCCAGCAAGTGTTTTGGTTTGGGCTCCCTCTGGTTCGATTCCAGGTTCTTTTGGGTTCTTTGGTTTCGTTCTGGAGGTTTCTACCTCTTGGGGCCCCCTTTGTGGGTTCAGGGGGCTTTGTTTCCTCGTGTGTGACCCGGTTCTGCCTTCTGGAGTCCTGGGGTCTTCCTGGCTTGCAGACTGATCTTTTTGGGTCTTGGCACGTGTTGTGGTCATGCTAGGACTTTGAGGTTTTGTTGTCCAGGTGGGCCTTTTGATGCAGTTTTGTGCCTTCTTCGCCTGGTCGGCGTG